GGGGGGGGGGAGCGGGGGAAGGATTTGCTCCATATGTGGTCTGGAAACCATTCCCGGCGTGACAACCCGGAGCAAAACCAGCCTGATTTCCGGAGGAAGATTCTGAACTTCCATTCGTATGTCTGCTGTACTGCGAGGACGAGAACATCTGGAGGAAGTCACATGACGCGCCGGGCACTTTGTTCTCCTTCCATAACGAAACACAACACATGACGGGCTGCGGAGGAGTATTCGGCACGGCCGCCTTGCCTGCCAATGTCACCTCTCTAGAGGGCGCCGGGGCATCGGAACGGAGGGATTTCCGGAGGAAGATTCTGAACTTCCATTCGTATGTCTGCTGTACTGCGAGGACGAGAACATCGCCGGATACTATGAAGGAGGCGGCAGAGGGATCCCGCAAGCGGCAAAAACTGGGCCCAATATGGTGTACGGTCACACTTCCTTGTTGTGTTGTAGAGTCCGCGTCTTTCAACAACCTGAAGAGAGAAAATTTTCATAGAATAAGTCTGACCTCCCCTTCAGTCTCCCGTCTGACCTCCGGCCTCCCCTTCAGTCTCCTACCGGACCTCCGGCCTCCCCTTCAGTCTCCTACCGGACCTCCGGCCTCCCCTTCAGTCTCCCGTCTGACCTCCCCTTCAGTCTCCCGTCTGACCTCCCCTTCAGTCTCCCGTCTGACCTCCGGCCTCCCCTTCAGTCTCCCGTCTGACCTCCGGCCTCCCCTTCAGGCTCCCGTCTGACCTCCGGCCTCCCCTTCAGTCTCCCGTCTGACCTCCGGACTCCCCTTCAGTCTCCCGTCTGACCTCCCCTTCAGTCTCCCGTCTGACCTCCGGCCTCTCCTTCAGTCTCCCGTCTGACCTCGAGCCTCTCCTTCCGTCTCCTACCGGACCTCCCCTTCAGCCTCCCGTCTGACCTCCCCTTCAGTCTCCCGTTTGACCTCCGGCCTCCCCTTCAGTCTCCTACCTGACCTCCGACCTTCAGTTTAGAATCCTCTTCTAATAACACAACAAAACCTGAGCACATAAGGCCTCATTCACACTGCAGCGCATATACGCACGTATAGGCGCGTACGTACGTATTGTACCATATGCAACATATGCAAATAAATGGCTCCATACACACAGCCGCGTTTGGAGCCGTATATTTGCGCAGCGTATATATATGCGCAAAAACAGAATGGAACAGAGATGCGTCTGGGCAGCGTATCTCTGCGTATTTACGCGCATATACATGCGTACAGCACATTAAAATGCCATTACGAATGATGCATTCTGGGATTGCATATAGTGCACGCATCGTATATACGCAATATGCAATTTTGCTTGCGTTGTGTGTGAATGAGGCCTAAAGAGGAATTTATCAAATCTGGAGCAGCTGAGCACGGCAACCAATCAGCTTCTCCCTTTCATTTTCAAATCTTACCTGAACAAACTGAAGAGAGAAGCTGATTGGTTGCCGTGGGCAACCACTCCAGTTTCGATAAATTCCCCCTCATTGTTCCTGCCAAACGGCACTCCGGCAGATGTTATACAATGTAACTCCACCTTAGGCTGGGTTCACACCTAGGCGGATTGAATATGCGATTCGCGGTAAAAAAAAAAACGCGCGAAAAACGCGCGTTTCCCATGGATACTTGGCTGTATCCCAATGGAATCGCCTGACCAAAACGCCCCAAAGGAGTACATGTACTTCTTTGGGCGTAGGGCGGTTTCCCGCACGTTCGTACTCGCGGAAAACCGCCCAGATGGGAACCATGCACATTGAAAAGAATGGCATTTCCCTGTTTGAGCGTTTTTCCGCGAGTACGAAAGCGCCGAAAAACGCCTAGGTGTGAACCCAGCCTTATGGAAGGGTCTACCACCTCCGTCAGCTTTTTATCATTATCGGATTCGCCTTAAAATCCACACTTGGGTGTCTCCACAAGACTCAGCGGGGCTCGCGTCACTTTATTTCACCCGTAACAACGGTCTTCTTGCGCGGAATATAGAACTCAGCGTGCTGTGGAAGGGGGGATTGTCATGGTGTCATGTGACCTAGCCAGCTTAGATCACATGGCCTCGGGGGCATTGTGGGGGGTTTCACATCCTTAGAGATTGAAGTTCCCCTTTAAACCTTTCCCGGAGCAAATCTAACATAAAACATTCTTTGATTTGCCCGAATTTTCAATTAGAAAATAATAATGAATGGTCTCACCGTCATCAGCTTCTTCTCCACACAGAAAACATGCAGGTAATCATGGCCGCTGCACACGTAGAGATCACCGCGCCACCAGGCGATGCCGCCTTTACTTCCGGGAGGACCGATGGCCGGGGGGCGCCGGAACTGCGCCAACTGCTCGATGCCCACCATCCTACGACTTCATCTCACACACCACAAGGTCTAAAGAGGAAAGAAATAAAAAACAATCGGGCCTTATAGTACATGTGACCCCGATCACTAAAATCTTATAGGAGAGGTACAGCTGTACTGTAGCTACAAATCTCATCACGCCTCTGCCACTGGGAGCCATGCTTAAAACCAAAGTTCACTTATTTTGCCCCCTTTGGTGTTTGTTTACATCCAGCACTGTGAGTCTTCACTTTCTTGGTCTGGGCCTGCGCATTACAGCCCCATAGACTTTTAGGGGACCGTCTCCCGCCTCGTAATTCAGATATACCTCAGGGGTCTGCAACCTCAGCACTGCAGCTGTTGTGGAACTGCAAGTCCCATGAGGCATTGCAAGAGTCTGACAGCCACAGGCATGACTCTCACAGGCAGAGGCATCATGGGATTTGTTGTTAAAGCACAGCTTGAGGGCTGCAGTTGCCCCCCTCTGGCTTAAAGTGACCCTGTCAACCGGATCATGCATTTCAACAAAAGCCTTTCCATAAGATTATATAAAATGTAAGGATTTTATTAATTATTATTTATCTGTAGAAGCCTCCCTTGTGTAAACATCCAAAAGCCCCGGGACTGCTTCTGGGTGCCGCCATCTTGGATGTGATATCTGTAGCGCCGCAGACTGAGAGCTCTCAATCGAGGGACACAGCAGCAAGGGTAAGCAAACCTCGGCCCTCCAGCTGTGGTAAAACTTCAAATCCCACCATGCCTCTGCCTCTGGGAGTCATGCCTGTGGCAATGCCTTATGGGAATTGTAGTTCCACAAATAGCTGAAGAGCCGAAGTTTGGCTACCCCTGCTCTAAAGTATTCCTCTTCCCTCCTCCCCGGGTAGCTGAATAAATGGTTATGGAAGGAGGTGAGGTAGCTGGGCCAGCACAGATAGTAGTGGACGCTCCCAGACAAGGAGAAGGGTTAAGACCAGCGGCGTGTCTGCCGCGAGGCAAACAAGGCGTTTGCCTGGAGCGGCAGAGAGCGGCACCCCGAGTGAGAGTGATACTCACGTGGATGGGATGACGCGGACGTCGGCCTGGAGAGTGGACAGCGTGTGCAGACGGCGTGGGGGGGGCGGCGTTGCTGCCTTGCCTAGGGCAGCACAAAAGTTAAATACACCGCTGGTTAAGGCATGCATGGAGGGAGGGGGCTGGGCTTGGGAATCGACTCTTCCTGGCGTGGTCAGATTTTCTGCTGTCTGGTAGACTTGCGGTAGGAAAAGACAATCAGTATTTTGCAGATCCTAATTTCAGCCCCACACAGTCCCCTCCCCCCATCCTGCGTCCCAAGGAAGAATTGTCTGCCAACCAAATATGACGATGAAAGAGCAGAGCCGTCCGTGCTGCACGGTGTATACACGTTTTATTATATTTTTATATCAAACAGTATAAACATCAATAAATGTGACAGAAACGTATATATCTGATTTGTTTTTATAGAACAATATTTATGCAGAAAGTAACAAAAGCGATACATTTCATCATCAGATTTTATTTCCCGAATTATTGCCGGCAAATCCAGGTCACCTGACGCCCTCCATGTCCCGTATTGGGGCTCACCTATACCATAGCGCAGCTATTAAAGGAAAAGGTCCCCCAACCCAATCAAACTTCACCATCCTCCAACGCTCTATCAGAGTCATACGCAATGCCCGGAGCTTCCACGTATGACGGACCATGTGATCTCTGGCAAGCTACAAAATTCGCAAATCCCAGGAAATGGCCCCAAACCCCAACCTCATCCATATGTGTAACATGTAACATGTAACCAACACCGTTGACAAGATACATTGGGGGGAATTTATCAAAACTGGAGCAGTTGCCCATGGCAACCAATCAGCATCTCTATTCCCTTTGCTCAGGTAAGATTTGAAAATGAGACAGAGAAGCTGAGTGGTTGCCATGAGCAACTGCTGCAGTTTTGATAAATTTCAAACCCCCCCCCACCCCCCCATGTATACGCTACAATTATCGGAAAATTGGGGAGCAGACAAGGAAGTCCGATGTTTTTGGACATCCCCTTTGACCTCGTCTATGACACATTGCCGGAAGGTCAGGGTTTTTTGGTTTGCCGTGTCTGCGTTCCGTAGTTGGTCAGAATTCCCTGTGACAGCTGGAGAGTCGGGACCATGCTCGACCGATCCGCGTCCGGGGAAGACCTCGCGGGTTGGGTTTGACCCCTGTGGCCGCCCAGAACTCCCCGCGATAGCTGGAGAGTCGGGACCATGCTCGACCGATCCGCGTCCGGGGAAGACCTCGCGGGTTGGGTTTGACCCCTGTGGCCGCCCAGAACTCCCGGCGATAGCTGGAGAGTCGGGGTAATAATGCTCGATCGCTCCGCGTCCGGGGAAGACCTCGCGGGTTGGGTTTGACCCCTGTGGCCGCCCAGAACTCCCGGCGATAGCTGGAGAGTCGGGACAATGCTTGATCGGTCCGCGTCCGAGGAAGGCCTCGCGGGTTGGGTTTGACCCGTGTGGCCGCCCAGAACTCCCGGCGATAGCTGGAGAGTCGGGACAATGCTTGATCGGTCCGCGTCCGAGGAAGGCCTCGCGGGTTGGGTTTGACCCGTGTGGCCGCCCAGAACTCCCGGCGATAGCTGGAGAGTCGGGGTAATAATGCTCGATCGCTCCGCGTCCGGGGAAGACCTCGCGGGTTGGGTTTGACCCCTGTGGCCGCCCAGAACTCCCCGCGATAGCTGGAGAGTCGGGACCATGCTCGACCGATCCGCGTCCGGGGAAGACCTCGCGGGTTGGGTTTGACCCCTGTGGCCGCCCAGAACTCCCCGCGATAGCTGGAGAGTCGGGACCATGCTCGACCGATCCGCGTCCGGGGAAGACCTCGCGGGTTGGGTTTGACCCCTGTGGCCGCCCAGAACTCCCGGCGATAGCTGGAGAGTCGGGACAATGCTTGATCGGTCCGCGTCCGGGGAAGGCCTCGCGGGTTGGATTTGACGGCCGGCGTTCATTTGGTCCACGAACGTTTCCACGGATTCAAACTTGGTGGACAGCTCCCCCAGGCGTTCCTTCAGGCCATTGAACTCCTTGTACAGCTCATTCAAAGCTTCGGAGAGAGATTTAATCCTGAGGGGAGGAAGAAGAGGACAGACGTGACACACAGCCACCAATGGAAGGTGATATTCCGGTTTACCGTCACCGAATGAGGTAAAAGCGGAAGTGTTTTCAGGAAGCTATGTACAGCACCCTGCCGGCCCCTCCCACTAGTCAGGACCTGCCTGCGCGGCATAGAGAAGCACAGAGACCAATTCATAAAGGATAGTAGAAGACTATGGAGGGGAAATTTATCAATACTGGAGCAAACAGAATCTGGGGCAGTTGCTCATGGCAACCAATCAGCATCTCTCTTTCGTTTGCTCAGGCAAGATTTGAAAAAGAGACAAAGATGCTGATTGGCCGCAGTGCAAATCTGATCCAGATTTTGATAAATTCCCCCCAATGAGTCTTTGGTTGGAGAAACCCATACTACACGAGCCAATGGTGGAAAGTCACATGACCGTACGACACATCCATCCAGTGGCGTCCCAAGGAGGGTGTGGGGGGTGCGGCCCATTGGAGGGGTCCTTGGATTCACTTGTTTTACTTGTTTGCCTGATGATGGGGATCCTGTGAGACCCCGAAAACGTATCTTGTGTTTTGCATTTGCAACAAGTACGTGAATAAATAGACGTACTGGATTTGCTTTGGAGTGCCGGTGTTAATCCTTTACTTACCACTGACAGTCATTTTGGTGTCACCCCCTATGAAAAGTCGGGCACTTGGTCATGGACCGAGAGCCCGACAGTGTCAGGAGAGAGGAAGGGACCCGGCGGCATACCTGATCCCACCAGGTGAACGTCCCCCTCCTCTCTCTGCCGGCCTCCATCACCAAGATGGCCGCCAGCAGGTGTCAATAAGACGACCGCGCATGCGCGATGATGTCACGGCAGGGTGTCACCCCGGTCTCGGGACACCCCTGCATCCATCGGTCATGTACTCTCTGCCGAAGGGGCTCGGATTGGCTTATCCCCTCTTTCAGCAGAGGCAGTATACCCCAGTGCCCTGCCAGTGGGTCACATGACCTCCTGCCGTGGCATCCAGCAGCAGTTTCCCCCTCCAAAGGTGAGAATTTCAGGCCTCATTGTGAAGTTTAGGGGTCTATCTTATTTTTACGGAATTTAATGGTCTTTTCAGTATTTTTTTTTTTTATCAGCATAATGAGGTCATGTGATCCATGTTAACTTATGAAAAACGTATCGTTTCATTGTATAATTTGTACTGATATAAGAACACGGGGGGCAGCCGTAGTTTGCTCATTACACACTCCAGATCTGCTTCTTGCTTTGCAGTTCTGTCCCGTGGTTGTGCTTTACGGCTCCTTCTCACAGCGTGAGGCAAAGAGTCGGCCGGTGATCTGTCGACACTGAGAACTTATCGAGTTCTGCGACCGCCTGACTTCCGGTTTCGTTACAACTAAGGCCCCGTTCCCACTACGCGATATGCAAATCGCGCGTTTGTCGCCCCGATTTGCATATTGCGCGACATCGCCAGATTTGCCGCGCGATATCGCGTTCAAGCTTGCATTGAGCAAGCTTGAATCGCGGCTAAATCCGCTCCAAAAAGGGTCCTGCTGTAGCGACACACGACCCGCGACAGCAGGACCCTTTGCCCCATTGAAATGCATTGGAGCGCGATATCGCGCGGTATTACCGCTCAATGTGAACGGGGCTTAAGAGGTTGTTATTAATCTCATGAGCCGGTGGGCGGAGCCTCTGCCCGCCCCGTCGTGATTGGACGGCGGCCGCACACTACGGTCCGCCGCCGGGACACCTTACACCGGCGCCTTCAACTTCCCCACAAGGTCACCGCTGCCGCCCCCTCTGCGCTCTGCCGCGCCGAGGCCGGGCCTCAGCGGCCTTGTGGAAAATCTGGGCCTGCACATGACCCACTCAGGCGGCGGCCATATTGAGTGGGGCACCTGAGATG